TGTTTCCCCGTGCATGTATTGAAATAAGGACAAACACATACATAGGGAAAAATACTGGTATATTTGAAGTGGTATTTACAACAGAGAGATTAGTAGTCAAACGAACCCAGGTTATTCAGTAACAATCAGAAAGAGTATAAAGTCCAACTGTATCTTCCGGTAGAGAGACGGAAGTGTGATGGTCACCTGATCTCCCAGAACTCTATAGAACTGTCCTATTAGTAGTAGAGAGATCAGTCCATTCTGATGAGAAGGTGGGTGGCCCCAACACATATAGAAGTTGTAGAGATTAATTAATTATTAATACATCCATTAAGTGGCACTGTTTAAGTACTATCATCATCATCATCATCCTTTGACCTCTCTGTGGTTGGTCGGAACTCCATTAACAATCCCTTTCCACACTACTCAGTCCTGCATTGCCATCCCCATATCCCCAATGTCCAACCCTGAGTCCCAAGCCATGGAGTCTGGGAAAGTCAACTTTCATGAGAAGACACCTCCAGAAGGATGCCATAGAAGTAAGGATGAAATGACCTCCCCATCCGCTTGGTTGCAGTGACCGGCAAACTGCAATCAAATTTGTTTCAGCTTAAAAGAGATTGGTCTCAGTTCTCCATAAACTGTGTTAAACATTGCATGGGATCTCCAACTGATGTTCTGGATTTTTCTAAGGAGGTTTGTATATGTTTCATCCAGTCATCTTTCAAGACAAACAGATAATGTCCAAGTTTCTAATCTATACAGTAGGATTGGTTTGAAAGGTTTAAAGTGTCAAATCTTGTGAAGTACTATAAAAGGATGAACATATCCCTTTCTCTCTCTTCTCCTTTCTTTTGCTCTAAGCTGAAGCCGTGTTGACACACAAGGAAGTAATTTTGTCCCCTTGAGGCTACTGAACTTTTATATACACACAATTCATAATAGATAAGTTTTTAATGTTTTTCTTTTCCTTTTCAGCTGTGTACACATTAGTGTATTTTATCCTCTTTTTTTAATCATTTATTAATTATATAAAGATACATAAAAATATCACTACTGAAATTTATAACTTTTCTCCTTTAATTTCTATAAATATTGACAACCCGTCATTTACACATGACAATTTTGGTTGACATTGCTTTTGGTTGAACCTGAAGCAGTATCTAAAACAAAGTCATAATAAAAATACAGTATATATATATATATATATATATATATATATATATATGAGTCACAAATTATTTCACACTACAAGATTTAAACATGAAAACAAGCAGCATGTGAAGAGGATAAATAAAATGAAGGTCATGCTTTCAACATCTCCAAGAGGACATGGGGCAGCCCTGTAGCGTACTTTTTAGTTCCTTTTTAGAATGCATTGGACTTACATTCTTCACTGTGGACAACTATTCAACAACAGACTATTGTCTCTAATGGACTGTCATGTGAATTTCAAGGTCTCCTTGGAACATAATTAAATTCTTCCTGTCAAAAGTGAGATACTTACTTTCTGTATCCCTACTAGGTCATAGAGATGTAGAAGTGATTATAGATAAAAAATGTAGGTGACCATGAGAGATAACATGAAGAAAGGATAACAGAGGGAGCAAAAAGTTATTTAGTTAATATTCTATGGATAGCAAGTGCAATAGAAAAATACCAGACAGAAGATGAAGAGATGAGCTAAAGACGCTTGTTCATAAATCATAGCAGAGAATAGCAGTTACAGTAATCATGTAAAGATTTGGGAAAAGCTTTTGTCCTGCAGTTGACTTGCAATTGGTGCTGCTGATAATATTTGCATTATTAAATGCAACATACACTTGAGGGAGATTAGAGAATAAATCAATCTAAATGTAGTAATTATAAAAATAATTATAAGAATTTTTTTATACCCTATCCCTTTAGGATATAGGCAATTATAGTTCTTCACAGATTCCTTTACTTTATTACTTAACTAGCAGCATGGCCCGGCATTGCCCGTGCTTGATTCAAAAATCGTACGACTCATACAGCAATCACTATCACTTGACTTAAAATATTTTGGCCCTTCCTTGCCTTTAAAGGAGTGCCCTTTGCCATGCTGATGTTGTTACATGCCTTACTTCTTGCCTATCTCACACTGCAATTTTTTTCTAAGCTCTATACTAAACATTAAATCTGTTACAAAAAAAGAACTAAACAAAATGAACACAAAATGATCAGCTTTAAAAATGGACTCCTAACTAGAAAAAGAATGTTAACAACAAATACTTTTTCACACCCAACCCAGTTCTGCAGAATCAGAATCAATGTTGAATTTAAGCAAGCGAATGAGCCAAATGGAGTAAAGTGCCATGCAGATTTAAATTTTTCCCACTTGTGACAAATGCAGCTATCGATTTTTTTGCATGCCAGCATGTTAGTTAACATTCGTGTCAGTCAGCTGTTGGCTCTCACGCTGGCCAATAGAACCTTCCTGCCTATTCGTGGCAGCCAGCTGTCACTCTGGCCAGTACAAAATGGCTGCAAACTACATGAAAACTGCCGTAGAAGAATGAAAAAATGGATTATTTCCACTATCGATGGGATTGGGAAATGCAAAATCAGTCTTGGCCTTCCCTCTACCTTGAAGCATGTGCATGTAAATTTTGGTGCAAATCCGTCGAAAATTGTGGCCGTGCATTTGTTACACACACACACACACACACACACACACACACACACACACACACACACACATCCTGCTTTTTATAGATAGAGATAAGTTGTCATTACTTCTTGGGAAAGATTGTTGAGTAGTTTCCTATTGCTTTCACCATGGTTTGAAATTCAAGAGAGCCCAGCTTACCCTACTATTTAACCCTTAGCTTGGATAGGATATCAGAGGAAATGAGGAGAGGAGATGCATCTATGCCTCTTCCCAAAAGCATTCATATAATAGTGAATGCAACAAAATAGACTAGAATTTGAACACTACTTGCTGATAACACTTTCCGTGCAAAGAACTATTATGCTACCCATGCATCCCAAAGCATGTTCTTCTTTTATGTACCAAGTCACTTCAGGGTATGTGTGATCATGGCTCTCCCCAACTTCTCATCACTTGTAATCTGTAGAACAGATTCCAAACATTACAATCTTGACCTCTTCAAGTCCAGAGTCAAACAATATCTATCCCACATATCCTCACAATATGCACTTCTTACCTTGTATATTCTTTTCCCTTATAACACTCTCACCCAGTAACCATCTACCTTGAGTATCTCTTGGGCCTTGTATTGGATGAATGAGATAGCCAAATCAGAGATTCGTGACAAAATTATTTGCAGTTAAGAAATGCTCAAACTGTATGTAGAACTTCACCTTGAGATGACTTATGATCAGAAATTTTATTCATGGTGTTCAACCAGGAATGTTTTTCTTCCATCCAACTAGTATTTCCCTCTTTGCTGTTTTTGCAACAAAGTTTCAGCTGATACATTCTTCAGCCTTATTAAATGCATGATCCATCCAGTAATCCTTGTGTATAATTCAGTATTTAAAAAATAATTTACCTCTTCTTTTGTGGGATCAAAAGAAACAAACGGATAACTAATGAATAATTTCAGAAATCTTTAGTCAATTTAATCTCTCTCACTGTCTCTGTCTCTCTCTCTCTCTCACTCTTTCTCACTTTTTCAATCTCTCTCTCTCTCTCTCTCTCTACTCTGTGTTTTCATGGTGCAGGTGATCATAGCCATCCAGTCTTTTGCTGCCCTCAGCAATACTTTCTCTTTTAAAACATCTGGTTCTCTCTATCGTACTTATTGCTCCATCTATTTGAACAAACTTTTCAATCAGATAGGTCACTCACTGTTTTCCTCTGTTTCTCTTGACTTCAATATGCCCTGTAAGTGTTTAATTCTTTAATCCTGCTTTCCTCATCTGGAGTTCCAAACATTTCAGCTGATTCTTATTAATAAAAAAATAAACTTAATCCAGCAAGGATTATGATAGATTTTGCAAATATAATATTGATTTATGTTCAACTCAAAGGAAATAGCTCAAAGAACTTTCAATTATTAGACTTGAAATTTCATCAAATGTGACAAATGCAGTTGAAGTCGCTTGTGTTCATATCTTACCAAGATGTATATTTCTGACTAATAAATAAAAATGCCATTTTACTCCAAATGTTGACTTTAGAAAGGCAATATTTGGAAAGTTATCTTCAATTTATTAACAAAATTGAATGAATAATAAAGAAAGAACAATATTCAAGTAAAAACAATTTTGTAATTATCAAATGATATATATATATATATATATATATATATATATATATATATATATATATATTATTCATATTAGTAGTATATTTTATGAATTACTTGCATCAATAATATTTCTTACATATTAGATACATCAACAATATTTTTACATATATGCATCAATACTACTTCATACATATTGCATGCATAAATAGTATTTATTACATATTGCATACAGCAATAGTATTTATTACATATTTACATCAATAATATTTATTATACATTACATATATAAATAGTATTTCTTCCATAATGCATACATCATTTGTATTTCTAATAAATTACATATATCAATAGAATTTCTTATATACAATGGGCATCAATATTATTTCTTACATATTCTATATATAAATAGCATTTTTCTATATTACATAAATTAATATTATTTCTTACATATTGTATACATCAGTAGTATTTCTTTTACATTACAGACAGCAATATTATTTCTTATATATTACATATATAAATAGTATTTCTAATATAATACAGAAATTAATATTATGTCTGATTTCTTGTATACATCAATGTTATTTCTTATATATCACACATATAAACAGTATTTCTTACATATTATGTACAAAATATTTCTTACATATTACATTAATCATATTTTTTGTGTATTCTGGATGTCAATACTATTTTTTTCATATTACATACAACAATTCTTATGTATTGCATTTAGAATATTGATCCCATATTATTAACATTAACACTATTTCTTTTCAGTCTAATTTGTGGGAAAAAGTGAAAAATATGTTTGGGAAAATTTTCAAAAAGGTTAAATGGCGCCAATGGAATGTCAAAATTGAAAAAATTTTCATCTTTCCAGAATTCAGTGAAAAGCGTAAGTGATTTCCAATTGGCTTTATGCATGACTCTGAAAATGTTAAAACTTATTTTTCTGTCACTAAATGATATTAAATTAGGCTTAAATTAATTTTTCTTAGTTATTTTTCTGTAAGATTTGAAAAGCCAAATATATATATATATATATATATATATATATATATATATATATATATATATATAATAATAATAATAATGGACTCTCCCATCGGTTTCAACGTATGAGGATCTGACAGCTTAATTGATTCAGTTATGAAATTTTGTGTGATAATCTTAAGTGGCACTTATGGCCTGCTAGTGATTTACAAAGGAGGCCACATATGGAGCAAGAGTGAGAATTGTGAGATGAAATCACTGTTAGATTGGCTGACCTTTTAGATCTTGCTCTTGCTTCTTGAAGATTATTCAGACAAGCAAATTGAAAACTGCTGAGTCCACTAAAACATGTTAATCTCCATTCTACTCGCTCCAAGGCTAAGTGCTCAAGGACATTATGTGGTATATTGACAGCTGACATATATATAAGGGATAACGCTATATGAATTTTTATGTAAATTTTTATATATCAAGAAGAGTTTTGAAAGAAAAGATGTATGACAAAGTGGAAAATGTTTTTGTGACATGTTTCATCAATTACACCTTCACCAGGGTTGGTTTGTTCATAAAAATGTAGTCACACCAACATAAAAACAAAGCCAGTACATTTCCTCTTTTAAACTTTAAGCTTGCATCTTTTTTTTTTTACTTTTACCTCCCTACCTACACTCTACATTTTGTATTTAAATTCCAATAATATATTTAGTTTATATTAACTTTGAGCTTTGAATCTGCGTTTAATATTTTGTTCATCCCATGAGAACCAGTTTTTTTTAAAAAAACAAGCATAATAGTTTGTGCCATGATGATTTGGTAAAACCATAAAACTTTAAGTTGCCTTACAAACACAGGTATCTGTATATTTATTAATATATGCATAAACGAAAAATATGTAAAAGTAAAGAAAGATGATAAAAGAAGCATGTTGAAATCTTTACATGTTTAATTGTGAGTTATTTTTTTTTTCTTTTTTTCAACAGAGATTGACAATGACATTGCCTTGGTAAAACTTTCTCAGCCTGTTCCAACACAGTTGCTTTCCACAATTAAACCAGTAAGACTGACCCAGTCAGGAAATAACTATTTCCCTCCGCCTGGAATGATGTGTGTCATGAAAGGTTGGGGCTGCACAGAAGTTGGTACATACCAAAATTTATTTTTAATTATAATAATCTTAACTAACTTGAGTTGCCAATCAAAACCTAAAATAATCAGACATGACCATTTAGCCTTCTTAAAAAAAAAAGAACTGGAATATCCAATGTTAAACTGAAGAGAGATTTTTTTGTTATAAAGCTCTATTTGACTTCCTTAATTTCATGTTTCCTAGGTATGATGATAAACTACGTCTGGCAGCAAGATCTCTGATCGACAGATTGGAGATTTTGAGGAGCGTGGAACCATCTCTTAATTACTGTTGTTCCCAGGTTCACCCTGTAAGGGTCCCAGCTATGGACAAATAGTGAACTCCCAAACAAAAATCAACAATAAAATTTTTATAATAAAATGACTGACAATACATTATTATAGCAAATGACAATCAATGTAACACTAAATACATTTTTATAGTAATATTACCAACAATACATTTTATGATCTACAAACTATATATCTAAAAAACATACTGTTATCCTGAGAATATAAAATTATATACAAGGTATCTATAATTGAAAGCATAAAATTGCATGCATGATATTTAGATTTCAACATTAAATAATCCATACAGGTTAATATGCCACTAAACAACATTAACCAACCAACCAACCTTGTTATCAATGTATTCTGTAGGAATAGGGCTAACAGCTGAAAAGATGAACATTGCAAATAAATTAAAATCACTTCATTGTTTAGACAAATAGGAACCTTTTGAATGTTCAAAATGAAGTAACATTATTTTAAGTCTAAATTTAAGATATAAATTTACATATTAGACAGATTTTCTTGTCAGAATCTATTTTACACTATTCACCCATGCAATGTCTAGTATTCACCCATGCAACTACATTTGCTCTGGTGCTTCTGCTATACATTTAGAGATTCTTGATAAAATACAAAAAAAAAATCTGCAATATTAATGGTCCTGACCTGACATCTTGACTTCAGTCACTTTCCTACTACCATTTTGTAGCTTTCCCTACGCTTTTTCTATAAATATTTTCATAGTAGTTGTTCTGATGAACTTTCCTCTATGGTATCTAAACTCATCATATTAATGTCAAAATGACTAGATGTAACTGTAAGTTTTATGCTAATAGTTTACTTTTCACTTGTGGAACTCTCTTCCAGTTAACTTTGATCTTCAAAAATTTAAATATAATGTCCGTCATTATATTGTCTTAATTCCTATTCTTTTATTATTCTCTGTCATTAGTAATATTTTTTTTTATCTCTTGTATTCTCTCATAATCAGTAACCCCTTGCATCTTAGTGGCTTTACTGCCTTTCTTGGGTTGAAATTATTAAAAAATCTAAAAGAAAAAAATTATAAATTTGTCGATTCATACATAAAAATCAATATTGTATATTTGAACAGTAATCCTTCTTTTATGCTTGTTTTATTAAATATGATCTTCTATATGCTGTGTCTCTTCAAGACATAGGTGGTCAATGGCTCTCCACAACTTCCTATCATATGTAACTATTAGTATTGTTTGTCTTTTTACTATGCCTCTCTATTATTGTTTTGTCATCCATTTACATGAGCTCATTCGGTAGGTGACTTGTTGCTTTCCTCTGTCACTCATGCCCTCACTATCTGTGAGTATCAAATTTTCCAGGCCCTCTTTCCTCATTATGTGCTTCAGAAATTTCAACTGTCTTTTTCTGATTCTAAGTATACATGTCCTTTTTATAGCTTACATGTTATATTTGATGGACAAGGAATCTCTTCTGAGTTTTTATTTCATTTTTTTGCATCCTTACAAGTTTTATTTTTGAGAATTGAGTGAAGCTATCAGACTATGAATTTATTTGGCAATCTGTTTACTTAAATATATGGAGGTGGGAGGATGTCCTAAAGAGTAATTAGTATGGAAAATGGAATTAGCAAACCAAGTTCAAATTCTGGTGGAGATAGTTCATGTTTCCTCTGGGAAAATATAAATTCACTCACCTCAGGTCAAAGATTATCCTCTGCCACTAATATTGTGTAGCCTAACATTACTTGTTCTGTTATTTAGAGATGTAATCACCCCATGAAGGATCTGACACATTACACAATACCCCAGTGACCTACTAGGGCACAGAATGGTGGACCGAACTTGTGAGTAACGATAAAGTTATAGAGACAATGGCAATAAAAAAGACCTCTTATGCTTAACACTAGGAAGAGACAGTTGAAATTTCTGGGGTATATAATGAGGCAAGAGGGTTTGGAAAATTTGGTACTCACAGGATTGAAGGTAAGAGGACCAGAGGAAAGCAATGCACAACCAACCTGGTGAGCTTGAGTAAATGGATGGCAGAGCAAGGTTTGGGAGATATGGCAAAAAGACAAAAGTTATTAAGAGCTATAAAGGACAGGAAATTCGGGAGAGCCATGATCACTAATGAGCTGAAGGGACATGTTACATAAAAGAAGACGAAATATATATTTAATAGATTAGTTAATAATAATGAATTTAAAAAAATAGACAGTTTTGATTGTCAACTTATTTTCATATATTTAAATAATACTGGGATATTCTAGTCTCATATTTAATACTAGCAGTAGAGCCCGGCATTGCCCGGGGATGTAACAGTAAGAGATAGATCAAGTATCAACCATCATAAAGACTGAAAAATAAAATTGACAAAGATTATTGTTTAAGGTTGACTGACATGCATGTCTTAATTAGTTTTGTTTTTTGTTTTGTTTTGTTTTTTGTTTTGTTTTTTTTTTTTGTTCTTTTTACGAATTGGTCAAATCCAAACTCAAACAAAAACATTGTTTTCAATCGTTATGAGTCTACCGATTGAATAGAATTTTATTATAAACAATTGTCTTGTAAATGGAATTTTTAAAGCATTCTGAATGTAAAAATAAAGAAAAAAGTTTGCAAGACAATAAGAAACACTACCTGCCCCCCCCCAAAAAGTGAAGTTTTGTTGAAATTGGTTGAAAAATGTAGGAAATCCGATCCCATATATAAAGGAACACAAACACACACACAACCTGGGTTTTATAATAAGTATAACTCGATATGAGTTGTCCCCCTTTCATTTTCGTGATAGCAATGCCTCTTAATCGTGTTTTCAAATTGATTTTGGGCAAAAACAATCGTGTCTTTCCAATTTTTGGTGCTGTCAAAACCACCGCAAGGTAATTTTACATAGTCCTGTGAAGTTTTGTTGAAATCAGTTGAAAAATATAGGAAATCCAATCCAATATATAAACGAACAGACACACACACACACAACCTGGGTTTTATAATAAGTATGATGTAAAAGCCAAACTTTTTGTTGTTTAATATCCCAAGATTAATAGTTCTGCATTTAAATATAATTTTGATGTGTATTAAATAAGTTATTTTCATCATTTTCATATTGACTTGAAAAAAGGATTTTATATTAATTCAACCACCTCAAGGAATATTAGAGTTCTAATACTGAGGATATGTGAAAAATTGCTTTTATATTATGAAAAAGCTTACTTTCTTTCAGATTTTAACTTAATTCAGCTTTTAACAAACAAATTATAAAGAAATAATATCGCATTGTAATAAAGCATTTTCTAGATTTAATGTTGTGACTTTAATGAGAAAAAGATTTTTTTAATATATTTTATTATGACTTTCACCATATACCTCATCAAAATGGTGGCTTTTAATGTTTAAACATATTTTTATTCTTAATCAGTAAATTAATTTTTTTTAATTCTCAGAAGTTTCTCCAAGTGCAAAAATGGTGAATAATATGTTTTCTTTTTCAAGCAATAATTCTGTAATGAGTTAATAAATTGCTTTGTTTACATTTTGGTTATGAAACTGAACAGTTAGGAAACTTTTGAGAAAATAATCTGAGTGAAGGAGATGTGCTTTCCTTAAAAAAAAAAGGGAAAATAGAATCTTGCTTGTCGTGACCTTATTTGTGGCTGTGTGGTAAAGCATACTGGATCAAATGGTAGTTTCCACTACTTATGGGGAACCCAGGTTCTATCCCTGCCAAGGAATTCATATTCTTTATTTGGATTTCTTGAATGCACAGGATGATAGACATAATACACATTTTTTAAACATTTTTTTAATCATTTCACACCAAGCAAGAGAATAAAGCCATTCAGATGCAAAGGGTTATTGATTATAAGAGAATATGACAGATAAAAAAAAAACATTACTAAGGGGAGAGAACAATAAAAGAACAGAAATTAAGAAGACAGATGATAAAGATTGACATTACATTTAAATTTTTGAAGAAGCTGAAAGAGAGAAAAGCACTTTTAAATTCTTTTGGTCTACCACTGTAGGGCATTTGCTCCAAGTCTGTTACATTTTTTGAATTGCACTAACCATTCACCAAACACACTGTTTCCAATCAAACTATCTCTGTTGACTTCATCAATTTATCTTTGCTACTGCTGTTGTCTTACACAACTTGGAAATAAACAACATTGTTATAAATTGGGATCTCCTACATATTTCATCAGTCCAGTCATAATTGTTTGTCTTGCATACCAAGAGCTGCTCTTCCCTTACTTCTTGGGCATTTATATAGCCTATATTTTAGCCATGCTAATTAGGCAATCATTTATATATCATACAATGTTTTTTCTTAACACAGTATGAAAGAATGCTGAATACAGAACTCTGAAAAACATTTTTTAGCTGTGTATTCAAATTGCCATTTTTAAAAAAAGAAATGCAGGGAACTTTTGCATGCATTTAATACTAATTATAAAAAAGGATATATATGTTATGTTGCAGGAATCAACACTTTTGATACAAGTGTGTGGATGTTTTATACTAAATATTTATGGGCACCTAAAATATTTGTCCCACAAACAATAATGGCAGATTCATGTGAGTTCAGATAACAATGACTAACACAAAACAGAATTTAAAACAGATGACAATACAAAAGGAATTACATATGTACACAATGGAAATAAGACTATCTATAAGAATGTGCTTGTTTGTGTGTGTGAAACAAGTGTATGTAAAACATGTGTGTGTATATGCATGTGTGTGAGGGTTCAATCGACAGTGGACCAAGGAAACGAAGATGCCATGGTGGCAGCATTCTTTGTCTACATTCAACTTCACCTGGAAGGAAGAGAAAAAATAGAAAGAGAAGGAAATATTTGCCTTTTTATAGACTTAAAAAGTGCCATCTAATGGGCATTTTTGACAAATCCAAGTGGGATAATCCACAATTATATATTATTTCTCAATCAGGTTTGTATTTCTGTATGAATTTTTGGGATAAGAGGCTTATCATTATCTACATGAGGACTATTGTCCTCATTTTTGTTGTTGTTATCACAACAGTTTGGCCGCTGTGCCCTCTGGTCTTCAGGTGTATATCAATCCGGATAACCTTCAGAGAATTTTTAATTGAACACTTTAATCTAGTGTGTAAATTGTTCTCATTCTGTTAACCATGTCTAAGGTTTTCTCATATAGATGCTATTTAGTACTCCTCAGTTATTGCACATGTCATTTCCACTGAGTTCAAGTATATATTGCTGATGAAACTGCTACTGCCATTTAGCACTTGACAGCACTCACCAAGGCTTTTCTTTTCTATTTCATCTGCTGCTGTTGCCCAGACAGCTTAGGTTTAAGGCTTCATTTCCTACACTCAGGATTTTCCCACAGGACAATAGTCTAGATGATTATAGGGTTGGTTCACAAATTTGATAACAAATTAATATTGGTCATATTTAAATTAAGTGAAAATGGGGTTAGCAATAACTGAGCAGCACTAAAATAAGAACTAGATAAGATATCCATAGACTTGGTCAATAGAATGAGAACAATCCACCACTGTAGATTAAATAAATGTGTTCAGTTTGAAATTCCATGAAGGTTGCCTGGATCAACAAGTACCTGAAGAAGGACTCAGGTTTATATTGTATGAAAACAAGATAGTTACTGGGATTTATACTTCTGCTTAAAAACTAAATGTTTTATCTTTCAGGTGGAAGTGTAACAAAAATGGCCCAAGAGATTGATCTTCCAATCATGAGCAATCATCAGTGTTCACAATATTTTGGAAAACTGAATAGCAGCAAAATATGTTCTGGATTTTTCAAACATGCCAAGGGATTATGCAAGGTAAGTTTTCTTGTTGAGCCTGTTGACTCCCTGAGGAACGTAGGGCTGCAACAATATCATGCTGCTGATACTGCTGCAGTTTCACTAAAGTAGGCTTTACAGAATAAAGTAAAGTTGCTTCCCCCACATAGAACCAGCTTGAATTTGGAATTGCTCTTCTTCTAAACTGGTTGCCAGCCAAGGGTAGCATGTCCATAGCAGGGCAGAAAAAAGATGGTTTCATACCTTACTGATTGATATTAGTGTTATGTAAATATGATATCAGTTGAGGAAAGACCTTTGGTTTTACTTCCACTGCATTAGTGTGTGAGTGGAAAACAAAACTGGTGATGGCATAAACAGGAAATGCATCTAGTGACTAAAATAAACAGAATGCACAGGTGTCTAGAGCCTTGAATAAACAAGGTGCATAGGTGTACTGAGCAGAAAGAAATGTGTGCTTGCGTGAGTGTATGCTTGAAAAGGAATGGCCACATGATGTTGCATAGGTGTCCAAATGTTATTTGACCAGTCTGATTCTTGATCTGGACAAAGAGGTTGGCTAGTGATTCAATGAAGATTTGTCTCCGTTAATTCCTGTGTGCACAATCATATCATCTGTGATTCTCCCTCACTCTACCGATTCACCAAGTTTAATATTCTTTGCTTCTAATGAAATTTTCCTGTTTTTTAATACTTTGATCAACTTTGGGAAGGCATCTTTCACTATTCTAATCTACCTTTGGATTTCAGTGTCACATTTACTGACCTCTGTTAAAACATTTCCTATTGTACTTGCTTGATTTTGATAACTTCAATTCATAATTTGGATGTTGGGCTCTTCCCTTTGCTGGCAATTGATGTTTAGTCCTTTCTTTCCTCTTTCCTTTATTACCTTTTGTAGGAGTTCCTGCAGTTTCTTTTTTGTGCCTGGTATCTACAATGTCATCTGCATATCTTATGTTGTTATGACTGGGGTCACCAATAATGAATTCTTGTTAGGCTTCGAATTCTCTCCGGATTGTCTCACCGTATAGGTTGAATAAGTCTGGTGAGAAGACACATCCTTGTATTTTTGTATATTTACTGAATTCATTTTCTATTTGTAAGCAGGTGATTTGCTCCCAGTATAGGTTCTGTATTTTTTTTTTTTTTTTAAGCATTTCACCCCAAGCAAGGTGGGAGTGCCACTAGTACACAAAGGGATACAAAGAGTGTAAATAAGGGAAAAGACTGGGTATGGGGGGAGGGAGGATAAAAAGAAGAACAGGGATCAAGGCAACAGAAGATGTCGATTGACATTGCATTTAAATTTTTGAAGAATATAGTTATCAGTTATAGGATTGTTCTAATATCCTTCCTAAATAAATCATATAGAATGTTAATATTGACATTCTATTCAGAAATAATAATATAGAATTATATCTGACTCTATGCTGTCTACTCTGCATGTATATATGTATGCATATATGGTAAGTGTAATCTCACCTTGGTTGATTTATCAGGATGGCGATTTATTGATGTTATTGGTCTGAGGAGGTGATCCCAGCATGCAGCACCTTTGGAAAGTTTGTGGAAACTATACCTGGGTCTTGGGTAGACAGAACAGTTCAGAAGCCGTTGATGGTCATGCTAGTGCAAATTCTCAAGTCATCATGACTGAGAATTTTGAGTGTACTGGAATTGTTCAAACTGTTGATCATTAAGATTAAGAACTCCCTCTCAGAAACAGTAAATATGGTCTTTTCAGCATAGTTACAGTCTAAAGGTGGGGTTATGATCTATTTAGTGCTGGATCTGTGTGGGATCTGTGTTTTTGGAAAAATGTGCCTGAAACAGTGATTAGTCAGCTGCCCTGTCAGACAGGTATACTTCGAAAATGAGAGCAGCTGGACATTATGTAGCAAAAGTAATGTTGTGATAAAAAACAGCTAAAAAATGTAAATGAAAGAAAATAGTAATCAAAATTAAAAATAATGGTTGGCAATACTTCATTTAATGTAAAATGAAATAAAAATATTAGTGCTGTTATTAATATTTTTTCTCTTTTACTAAATGCCTTATCTTTTAGGTTTTCTAGATGTTCATGACTCTCAAAAGATTCTTTTTATTTTTATCTGTGAATTACGATACAGTTTTGGGATAGTCAAGTTTTTTCTCATTGCATTCTCAACAGTTTGAATTCAGAGTTTTTTATTTGCTTAGACTGATTGCCACCCAAGTCTAGAGTGCCCAGTCTACTCTTTTATTTACCCCACAGCTGGTGGGAGAAGAGATGAATTGATGCCTTTCCAAAGGCCATTAGTGTGAAAGTGAATGCTACAGATGAGACCAACAATGAAGTATTATTTCCATATCTGGGATGGAGCTGCCCAACCATCACTTGCCTATCTTGAGAGATTTTAAAAGCATCTATGCAGACTTGTGGCTGCTGAATTACTTTCTCTCTTATGACTTCTTTCCCACAGGCAAAACATTGTGAGCCTCTCGCTACTCTATCACTGTTTCCATGGCATGTGTTCTGATGAGTCCTTGGTCCCATCAGCCTTGAACTTTGCAACTAGAACCCACTATGCCACATACATAGGGATGAATCACTCTCATTACCTTCATATTCCATTAGTAATGAGTTTTCCTATATATGCATTTACTGGTCAAATCAGCATCAGCACATGATATGTTGGTCATATGATTTTTGAAATTTCTTCTTTTAAGCAAATTATATTAATGAATATGAGATATATGTTTTTTGATTAAGCCAGCCATGACATTCTGACTGGATATATTACGAAACTATACTGAAATTTCATTAACTTGGGCCTTCATGCCAGCAAGAAAAAAAAAAAGTGTCAGCAGGATGTTTTTTTTCCATTGATACTGCTTTTACTTTAACTACCTTCAATTCTCAGCTCTGTTTGTTGCTTTAAAAAGCAATGATTAGATTTGTACTAAAGCATAAACATAATGAATGTGAATTCATACATTTTTTGAGAATTTACAAAAAAAATATTAAACACTATTTATTTATTAGATTTTTTATATACAAGTATAATTTTATATTTTCAACATTTTAAAAACTAATACAATTAAAACTCATGCTATGCAATATTTATCATTTCCCAATTTATATAGAAATAACTATAAAAACAATTTTTTATAAACATTTACTAAATTAATAAAATGTGTGAACCAACTATAGGGAAATCCTTATTATTTACCATTTTATAAAGTTTGAATCAAATGGCAACTAGACAATGTTTTAGCAACCATTCCAGTCAAGAATATAATAAATAAATAACATTTATTATTTTTGTTGTCAATTCTCAAGAACAAAGAATATGTATAAATTCACTTTCATCACATGTTTAGGTTTCTAATCATTGCTTTTTAAAACAATAAACATTGCCAAGCAGTGAAGGTAGTCAAAATAACAGCAGTGTCAATGGAAAAACCATGCTTTTGACACTTTATTTGGGAAATAATTTCTGTTTACAAGCAATAGATTCTAAACTTCATATTTAAGCAATACTAGTAAAACTCTATTTAGACACAAAACAATTTAAATTTTATAAAGAGATAATTGTATTTAATTTCAAAGTAAAATGGAAATCTTTTAACAGGCTTAGAGGGTTTTAATTTAATTTTGAGTCTTTGGTATTATATAATATTAAATTTGGCTCTTATCTTTTTTTGGACAGGGTGATAGTGGTGGACCATTGGTGTGTCCATCACCAGAAGGTTGGATACAAGTTGGAGTGGCATCATTTATGCGAAAGGATGACCCTGAAAACTATCCTGGAGTTTTCACGCGTGTATCAGCTTACAGAGATTGGATTGACGAGACAATTAAATCAAACAGTTGATTATCTCCTTTTAATTTTTGAATCACATTCATAAAATAGATAGCCATCCAAGACCATTTATTTTTGGTGTGTTTCACTATAGTAGTTATATTTTGTCAAGCCAAGAATAAAACAAAGTTTACCAGGATATGTTTCTTTTTAATACATACTTATATTTATCTATCTATATATATATATATATATATATATATATATATATATATATATATATATATATATAAAAATGAAGTTAAAACACAAACATTTTTTGTTGAAATGTGTATTTTTTAATTCAAAATATATATTATACCCTATTTTCCATAATTCTGTGTCTGATATTTCATAACCATTATCTTTGTATCACAACACATCTACAAATGTAATCAAGGTAAATTTAAAATAATGCCAATATACCAAACAGACAATTATTCTTGCCTACAAATACAAGAAAAAACTTCATAAATAAATTTAAACCAGCACTAAATAGATCATAACCCCACACTCAAAAACACTCTGCATACACATATATAATAACCAAATACAGTAGTTGATTTTGTTATGCTATAGAAGATTGCTATGTGATGATAATAGTTGTGAAATATCAGATGCAAATCGTAAATTCATGATGCAGTTCTATGACATTGTGCAGCATGAAAGAACAAAATATTAACAAGAGAACTATATGCAATATATATATAAACTCTTATCACCAGTCCAAGAAAGACATTTGAATTACTACCACACAAAAATTCATTTTTATAATATGTGGTAATATCTACTCTTTGCTTGAAGAAGGTCACAAACAGGAATATGTGTAGAAGAATTATGGAAAATAGAGTATAATATATATTTTAAAATAAAAAATCCAAATTTCAACCAAAAACATTTGCAGTTTATCTTCTTTTTAAAATATACACTTTTCTCTTGTTGGAACAACAATAACACCTGCCCTATATATATATATATATATATATATATATATATATATACTGCTTGCCATAATCTTAAGGCTAATGAGAATGCAGAAAAAATATACTTTTTACATTGTTACACTCAACCTCTGAAATGGAGCTGCATCCAGTTTTACCAGTTATGGCATGTTCATAGAGACTTTGCTTTTGCATGACAATTCTGCCATGTTCAAACTCCGTTAACTTTTTATGTTATTACCATTATGTGTTTACCAATTAAAGCTTTGTTTAAATAAGGTCTTTAAACTTTTGACTAGCTAGTATTTAGCCTAATTTCCCAGTAATCAAATTTTCTATAGTTAATGCTAAAATTGTTTTTAAATTTTCCTTTTCCTTTTCTTATTTTAATTTTTGAAGCTCTACTGAAATAAGTGGTTGAGTCTAACAACACAAAAGTTATATTTTTCTTTATTTTCATTGGTTTTAAGATTTTGTCCAGCAGTGCATGTGTGTGTGTGAGTCTCTCTCTCTCACACACTCTCTCTCTCTCTCTCTCTTATATATATATATATATATATATATGTATAGATAAAAAGAAAGAACAGTAAGATATAAAATCCGGTGTTCTTATAGATATTTTTATTTTTACAAAATAGTGCTCAATGTAAATTTACAGAGCATTATATATATATATATATATATATATATATATTTAATCAATTCACTGCAAGCTCTTCTGTTCAAAAGACCAGAGAGGTGTGTGAACTGGATGATAGGTGAACTCATCTACACTATATATATATATATATATATATATATATATATATATATATATATATATATATATGTGTGTGTGAAAAGTGTGTGTATATAAATAAATATATATATATATATATATAATTATTCATATATGCACAGTACTTATTAGAAAGTGCTCAATATCAGAGATAGAGCTAAGATATTTGGTTGGATTGATATCAATCCAACTGAATATATATATATATATATATATATATATATATATATATATATATATATATATATATATATATATATATACACACTAAGCAATGAAACTATACAAAGAGATTAGGTCTAAATAGTTGCTTAATGTTTCTTGCAACCTGATTGTCAGATGACTAGAACTTGAAGTAACAAGTCTTTGCGGTGTTTCATTGGTTAGTTTTACTACTCTATCTTGGTCTATTTGATAAAGGAAATGAACACTTTGGATTGTTTCCTAGATAGATGTCTGTCTTATCATTTTTCTTTATGTTTCCATTTTCCTTATTTATCGTTTTTTCTTATTTTTTCCTGGTCTCTTTTCTTTTACCATTCCAACTTTTTTTCCTTTGACAGACTTTGCATTAGTAGTGTTGTATTTGGAACCTTTACCAAAAGTTTGCAATGTTTTAGTTATATACTAGCAGCATGGCCTGGTGTTGCCCGTGCTTCATTCAAAAATCGTATGAATCATACAGCAATCGCTATCACTTGACTTAAAATATTTTGGCCCTTCCTTGCCTTTAAAGGAGTGCTCTTTTCCATGCTGATGTTGCTAAATGCCTTACTTCTTGCCTATCTCACACTGCAAATTTTTTCTAAGCTCTATACTAAACATTAAATCTGTTATGAAAAAAGAACTAAACAAAATGGACACAAAACGATCAGCTTTAAAAAAGGACTCGTAACTGGAAAAACCGAATGAAAAAAGAATGTTAACAACAAATACTTTTTCACATCCAACCCATTTCTGTGGAATCAGAATCAACGTTGAGTTTAAACAAGCAAATGAGCCAATTGGAGTAAAGTGTCATGCAGATTTAAATTTTTCCCACTTGTGATGAATGCAGCTATCGATTTTTTTTGCATGCTAGCAAACATTCATGTCAATCAGCTGTTGGCTCTCATGCTGGCCAATAGAATCTTCCTACATATTTGTGGCAGCCAGCTATAGGCTCTCACTCTGGCCAGTAGAAAATGGCCGCAAACTACATGAAAATTGCTGTAGAAGCATGAAAAAAATCGATTATTTCCACTATTGATAGGAGTTGGGAAATACAACATCAGTCTTGGCCTTCCCACTAACTTGGAGCATGTGCGTGTAGATTTTGGTGCAAATCCGTCAAAAATTGTGGCCGTGCATTCGTTACATGCACACACACACACACACACACACACACACACACACACATCCTGCCTTTTATATATATATATATATATATATATATATATATATATATATATATTAAGATATGGATTAAATCTGAAAAAAATAATTAAATAAGAAACAAGTAGTATAATATTTATAAACTTGGAATGTTTCACTATAAGGCTTAGCTTCATAGCATCTGTTAGAATTGAAGAAATATTGAGTTTTATCATATTGATTTATATACATACATACATATGGTGGAGTAGTGGATAGTGGCTCAGATTGAGGAATCAGAGAACCAAATTTGAGCTTCAGTCAAATCCATTACATTCACTTACATACTAATAACTTTGGGAAACGTATTAATCCTCTTCTTCTCCCTCCAACTATGGGTAAATAGCAGGACAGACTGAGTTCTATAGACTTGGAGGGCAACCGCTCTAGAAGTAGGACAACTCTGAATTCAAAACTTGCAGAGGGTTGTTTGGGGACCTTGTGGCATGCAATGCAGCAGGTCTGTGTATTTGGCCCTTCAAAAAGTGTGGTTGGTTCTGCACAAAACCTTCACCACTATAATCAAATCATATGTGCTGGTATCTGACTGTCGGTTTCTAGGAACTGAGCTGCTAGACCCTCATACATCGAATATGATGGGGAGCCCAACACCATATATATATATATATATATATATATATATATATATATATATATATACAGGGTGTGATGGATAACTTTTGTCTAAATTACACAGAAATAAAAATAATACTGACATCTCATTTTAACAGATATAATTACCAAAATTAAACAAAAAATATCTTGAAATACTAAAGAGTAAATTTATTCAATAAAATTGTCAATGGTTTCAACCACAGCCTCCAGATGACTTCAGAATCTTCTGCAACTCTTCTAGATGGTCTTCTTGATTAAGTTGGTGAATTTTTCCATAATCCTTGCTTTCAGTTCATCTTTGGTGTTAAAAGGAGTTTTGTTGGCTCTCACTCAACTGTGCCCCACACATCATAATCAATGGGGTTTGCAGTCTGGGGAGTTAGGTGACAAGATGTAAGGGGTGATGTGGTTGCAGATATTCTCTGAAAGCCATAACTGGGTTCTCCTGCTTGTGCAGAGTCCTGTTGCCAGACATAGGGTCTTCCAGCAGACATCCTCTTGACTCATGGCAGCCCTACCTCCTCAAAGTACTTGATGTAGGTCTCTGTATTGAGCCTGTGGCCCTCAACAACAAATTTGGGAGTTCTTTTTTTATCAGAATGATCAGAGTGAGTTTTCCAAGTTGCTGTACCTTTGTAATCACCATTAGACTCATCCAACTCTTTCTGAATCCTCTGCACTTTCCTCAGATTGACACCCAAACGCTCTGAAATATTCATATTGGGGTTTCCAGTGCGAATGCTAAGCAGTACAGCATGCCGTTTCCAAATTTCTGGCAGAATGATTTATGCTATAGTGACCTTTTTCTCATAGACAATGCCCAACTGACCCTACTATACTGTGCAGTTGACAAAAGCAAAAACAAACAACACAATTGTGTGAAATTAAAAATATAAAATAGCAATAATTTACCCATTGCGCCCTGTATATAAAAAGATATAACAACTGTACCAAGTTACGGCAGTTTCACCCCTCACATTTTCAGATGGTTTTCCAAACCAGCCTGAAGATCTTTAGGTGAATAACTTAGTAAGGTTGTTCAAATCAGCCTGAACATCTGAGGGATAAAACCACAGTAGCTTGGTAAGATTCTTATACCTTTTAAAGATATTATTTATGAATATTTCTCTCTGGACAAGTTATTGAGTACTTTCTAAAATTTACTAGAATTACTTGATTTTGGGGTAGATGTTATATCATAGTAGTTGATTTATATACACAGATATATATATATATATATATATATATATATATAGAGAGAGAGAGAGAGAGAGAGAGAGAGAGAG